GGGGGGGGGGGGGGGGGGGGGGGGGGGGGGGGGGGTGTAACTAAACTGCGTCCTTCAACGCATGCATGGGTGGGAGTGTGACGGGCTTGAAGATGCCGCTTAACGCAAGCTGCTGTGATTCCACCACCTGAAGACCCAAAAGGAACGTTGGCAAAAGTAGCAGTTGTCATTTTCCACACTCCCACCGAGCCGTTCGAAACACAACGCCATCAACGTATCAATATCGGCACCGAAACTCCATACTTACAAGGCTTGGCTGCAACTTCAACAATACAACAATCATCATGCCCATAAACAAACAAAAAAAATCCAAACCCTAATTCCTATATGTATCCCCCACGAAGGAAAACAACAAAACAATTCCGCTGTGCTCCCTTGCACCCGCGTCACCTCGGCTGCTGTGTCCCAACACATTGAGAAAAAGTGTAGACTGGCGCCCCGAATAGGCGGGACCAAAACGAACTATGGAATTATTAACACCGACTCAACCCAAATCCCTTCCCTATTGTACATACATCCCTACGACCACGGCCCCCCGTACTCCGCTCATGCGAAGCCTAGAAAAGAACACAACTGCCGCGTCCAGCGCTTTTCGACAAACGTTGGATCGGTTGACAGCTTTCGGCATATGCTGTCCTTGGCCCCCTCCCCTTCTTCACTTCTCCCGACTACACCGCGCCTCATGACTTGCCGCCAGAGAACAGGTTGTTACTAACAATGAGCCTCATCTGCCAAGCTTACAATCCCAACCATTGCCACGGTTTCAAAGCCGTTACCGTTATTCCATACCGAGGCACTAAGTGTGAGGAAGCCGCAACACCACCATCTCCCCGTGGACCACAAGAGACGACCCTTCACCAATTCTGGACGGGGGACACTGAGCCCTCGAAGGATAAACACCACACCCGCCCTCGTCAGTATTTCTTCCCAGCTATTGTACAGTAGTACAATGCCACCCCTCCAGGGGCGTGCACCTCTCAACACTGGACCACTAAGCCCCCCCAGAGCGTCACGCCGCCGCTTCATGGTGAGATACAGACGCCAGAAGTGGCGTGCTGACATCTCTGTAACCGGGTCCCGAGCCTCTCGCCAAAGCGATCGTGCTAAATAGACACGCCCCGTCTTAAAAGCCAAGGACAACAGGCAAGGCCCGGCATCGGGTTTGCCGTGAGCTCTTGTGCTGCATGCGAAAACGATTTTCCGCAGTCTCAAGTGGTTGTTTCCGCCCAAAGCCCGAACTCCGCGACAACAGCTCGAGAGAGAATAGCTCCAGAAGGATGGAGGGATGGAGGAATGGAGGAATGGTTTACCGCAGACCCCTCATCTTGATGACCGCCATCACCAACATTACCGCCACCGCCAGAACCGTCTGCATCTTATCCAGACGGAATCCATCATCATCATCCTCATCCTCGTCACTCCTACCCCGGCCCTCTTCCTCCCTCCTTCCCCTGTTGCGTCTACCGCCTTCTTCTCTTGCGTCCGTTCCCCCGAACCACCTCGCCACGCCGGTGCGACCGAAAACGCCGGCGGCGGCTCCTTGGGCGTGAACGACAGAGTGCGACGGGGCCGCCGCCGCAGCAGCCCTCGCCTCCTGGCGTCGCCTTGCGGTGCCCTCCCAATGGGCTTTGCGCTCAAACCATGCGTCGCGCTCCCTGCTGGGCGCCGCGGCTTCTACCGCCTTGGCAATCATCTGAGTTTCGGGATATTGTAGAGGAGAGAGACAAGGGCGAGCATCGTGACACGGAAAAAAAAGTTGATGGGAGATGAGTATAAAGACGGGGCACTGACCACGTACATGCCTTTTAGTCCACTTTGTGGGTGTTGGAATAAAGCACGTGGTCGGAATCAATCCCTCTGTGACCATTTGTGACGCCGTCTTCTTCTGGGCAAGAAAAAAAATCTTGAATAAAAATACACGCCTGAAAGTCACGGCAAGGTACATTCAAGTCGTCAAAGTGAAGACACATGTTCCCGACGGTAAGCCAATGAACCGCATGGGACAGCGCTGACTACAGGGATTACACCCCTGGGGTTATTGCCGAGGTCCAACAACTCAAACGAGTTGAAGGACTCCGGTTGTGCTCTTGTTAGAGAATTTTGTAGCAAATTGGATAGTCTATGTTGTACATCAAACAGTGGGCCCTGGAAAGGGTGCTACGTAGAGGGGACGAGATGTTAAGCCTCTATTCAAGGAAATCTTCGACAGAACGCGCCGCAGAGCAAACCTTTCGAGTGCGCAATTTCGAACACATGTAGATACAGGCACTGTCCTGCTGTCGCGGGCAAGCAAGCCCCACAGTCAATCCTTGTTCTGCCATTTCATCGTGTCATATGTGTGTGGTGTGGAGCAGAGCACAGCGCTGGCGCCAGCCCAACGAGAGGAAAGATGGGGCGCAAACGCATATACGGGGTGTCATTTCGGCCTTACAGCTAGGTCAACAAACGCTGGCGCGTCCAACTGCTGTACACCTACGCACCTCGTCCATCTTCCTCACGGGTACGAGCTTGTCGACGGGTGTTCTGCACACAGGGCATTCTCCCCTGGGGGCGTTGTCGATCCAGCGCTCCATGCAGGCGCCACAGAAGGTATGGCCACAGTTATCTGCGACAGACAATCGCAGCAAAAGACAGAGAGAGGCCACGCCTTCAACTTAGGAAGGCTCAGATGTCAAAGACAGACCTAAGCTGAAACCGGGTTCAGAGTTCAACCAGTCAAGCAGGGTTAGGTTCAATGCCACACAGCAACACGTAGATCCGTGTCGCGGGGGAGGTGGTCGCGTATCACAGCATGCTCTCAGGCTGCTAGTTTCGGTTAGCAGGTACTCGAGTCGTCGTAATAAACACACGCCTTGTAGCACACGTGTAGGGGGGCAACAAGCACCAAGAGGAAGCAGAGGAGGGTAGGACATACACCCGTAACTACACACAGATTCGTGGGAGTGGTTAAAAGGGCGTGCACGATACCACTGCCCTTAAGAGACAACCTGAAACAACTGACAACTAGTCCTCTCCTCCTCCACGGGGTGTGCCCCAGGACACAAGCACAAGCACAAGCACAAGCAAAGGATCATTCTCGCGCCGAAGGCGAGATCTTTCAAGCAACGCCTTGTCGCGCAGTCTCTCATCATCCTCGCCCTCGTCACCCGCACATGCCCACGCCGAATCCAACAACAACATGAAAGCCAAAGCGCACGCCTCCAACGTCTGGCCTGGCCTAGCCTAGCCTTGCCACGAAGCGCTCCTCATCGCCCGCCTCAAAACCACAACAAGCTCTCGCAAAAAAAGCCACGCGTGCGCCAGGCCCGGCCTATGAACGAATATTTTCTTCTTTTCCGTCTCACCGAGCACGTGCACCCCTACGAGCACATCGAAGCAGATGTCGCATTCGAACTCAGCCAACACGTCCTTCCAGCAGGTGCCCTCTTGCGTCTCCTCTTCTTCCGTGCCTAGGCTTAACCCTGACGATGCGTGGCACTTCTTGCACGAGCAGCCGAGCCTTCCGTCGCTCAGACGGCTGCTGCTCAGCCCGCTCTACGCCGGGGGGCAACAAATGTTGGACGGACGCGGTTGAAAAGGTTCTTGGAGAGGTGAACGTCCGTCCGCCCACGGTGGTGATGATCGTGAATGTCGCTTGAGGCCATGCCCCCCCGAGAGTACAACAATAACAACAATGCCCCAACGGACGACAGCACCACAGGTGCCCTCGCTGTCAAAAACAACACGCACACCACGTACTGCACTCACCTCGGATCCGTCCAACTTCTCCTCCTCCCGCCACGGCTGCCAGCCGTCGGCTTGCACCTCCGCGTACACGCCTTCCAGCTCTGCGGAAACCCTGGGGTCCAGGTGCAGGTGCGGCAGGGGCGGCTCGTCGTCGTAGTGGAACAGCCCGCGACGGTCGCGTTGAAGCATGAGGTGGCCCGAGCTTCCGCCACGACCGCTGCGGCTGGTCCTAGTGGACCTGTGAGAGCTTTCTTCCTCGGAGTCTAGCATGTCCACCAGACGGCTGCAATTTTGGGGGGAGGGGAAGGGTAAGAAACAGAGACAATGTGGAACAACAAAACAGTTTTGGGGGGAGGAGGAAGTCAAGAAACAGAGATAATGTGAAATAACAAAACTGCTACAGCATTTCAGTATTTTTTTCTCGAAGAATGGAGGGATCGATTATGGTGATTTAGCGATGCCTAACTTTACACTCGTCTTTCTGTTCAAGGTGCTACAGCAACAATTGACGAGGAATATCCGAAATAGTACATGGTAGTTGAGGAGAAACGCCAACGGAGGGAGGGGCATGTCTCGTTCCGAGGATGCATACTGCAGAGCGCCACAGCAGACGGACCGCTGGAATCAGAGGGGTGAGCTTTTATATGCTGGAATCAGAGAGCTGACTTGTGGATACCACAAGGCTGGATTTTGGAGGCGCGGGCGGCAGTACAGCCACCGCCTCGTTTCGCCCACGTTGGCTCTCGGAACCGCCGGGTAGGTGGGAGCGTCCTTGTGGGGATTGTCGAAACAACAACAACTGTATGTTGACGGGAGAGACTGGAGAACAGCCATCATCCAAGGTGAAGGTTTGATGGAAAAACGCTACGTGAAGATGAGAAAAAATGGCAACGAAACACCTTCCCTTGCTGCATCGCGGCAAAAAAATCCTCAACCTTCCGACAAAATTAGTGATCAAACCACTTACGCTAGCCCCCGCTCGTTCCCTGGGGGTCCCTGCAGATTGGGATGGATGCCTCTCCGCCCTGAGGGTACCCGGCGACCTTGTTCCTGCAAAACAAATGAAAAAAAAAGACGAGCAAGAAAGTGACAGGGGCTCGCGTCATGAGACAGTACAGCGTTGATCTCCACTTGTGCAACTTTTCGAACCGATAACAAGAAAGGGCAAAGCGAACAATAATGCTGGATGATTCCTGGGTGATTCTTGGCACCTTCCGAGGCCCCGTCTTGTTGCTGTGAACCACGCTTGCGGTGCATTGACAATTGTGCTCAACTTGGACAACATGCTGAAGAGGCAGGCTATACATGTACGTCTCTCGACAACCTCATGGCCCTTGCTACCCAAAGGAAGACATCGACAACCTGCATGTGGACTGGGTAGCCCACATCCTCTTCGTACGACAACAGCAACAAGTCGAACCAACGCAAAGCCAACGCGAATCCCAAACGACTACAATCAGGAGATCAGGTCAACCACCCCATGTGCGGGTCACAACGGCTAATCTCTCTTCCTGAACAGAAAACGGTCAAGACCATGTGCAACGCACACCACATGTACTCGACAATCACCCTCCTCATCGTCACCCCAAGGGTGCAGGACATACATCCAGTGGTTCCATTGGTTCCGACAAGTCCGGCCGCACGACAAAAAAAAAAAAATCTCACCACGAGATCGTCCAGGATAGCATTCTGCACGCCAGGGTGTGCTGCAAGACGGTGGCCCATGGCCAAAACTTCTCTTCGCAGGACCTGGTTGCGCCGCAGGCGAGGGTAGACCTGTCCGCCCGTGGGTCCAGACGGGACTGTCGCCGAAGGGCTGAAGACAAAATCTGAACCGAGAAGGAGGGGGGGGGCCGGGGGGGCATGAATATATGTCGAAGTGTGCTACGGGAGAGTGTACGGGTTGCAGTATTGCAGTATTGCAGTACACCGCACGCAAGAGCAGCACACCACCGATCCCCAGTGTCTGTGGGAAGCACTGCCGTCCATACCCAGCCCAGCATCGTGCACCAGGGGGTACAGTTGGACACTTACCGTATGGTGCAGTGGTACAGTACCCGTGTACCGTACACGACACAAGATAGTACACCCTGGACCGACCTTTGATCGTCGACTACGACACGGCGAAGAGGGTGCAAAAACGAAACGAAACCATGCATTTTCGGAAAGCTCTCGACGAGGCGGCTTCAACGCCGCCTTTTTCGGCGCTGTGACTCTTTCTGGTGTTGAGAAATCGAGCTTCGAAAATCGGCGCGGGGAGTTTGTGATCTTGTGTCGTACTAGTATACGGTAGTCCAACACAGGGAAGATGTACGAAGCATCGCGGCTTCCATCCATCTCTCAAAGAAAATGTTCGACTCCGCAACCCAATGTACTGCGTGTTGTGTTGAAAGTCCAACGCTACCTTAGTTCCTTCCAAGGCTTTGATTGAAACGAACGACGCCCACAGAGGAGGAGAAGAAAGAGAGAAGAGACCAAACCAACAAAAAAGGGACCCCTATGACACGAGCCGTAAACACAACAACCGAACGCCCGCGCAACAAACAACGACAAGAGCGGGCATGAACAGATGGGACCGAGCACATAAGTAACCTTTCCACAGGAGTCGTACGGAATCAGGTTTCTTGTGCTGGCCAAGATAGCATGGAACTACCAATCAAATGGCGAAATCACACTCAACCGCTTTTGTCAACTTCAGAGGCCAGCGCGGACTGTACGAAAACCACTCATCCTCACAAAAGCGTAGCCGGCGCCGCAGGCTGAGGGATGGCTTCCGATTAGAGGTGCGCCGGGGGGGGGGGGG